TTGTTTAATTTCGTTTGTCTAAATATGTTAGCGGGAACTAAAACCCAGTTTCTGTTTGAATTGTTTGAGTTTGTCATTCTGTCCACCTTTGTGTTGCATTCTGATGATATTGCATACCAAGAAGCTTCAGCGAGTCTTTATTTAAAACTGTTCTACGAATTTGTTAGTAATAATAACAATAATAACAAAAACGGTGCTTATAAAGCGCTTACCACCGAAGTCTCTAAGTGCAACCATCCCCCTTTTTTAAACAATATAAATTAATTTTTACTTTTGAAATGTCGGGTATATTTAATACTGTTGATCTTGCACTTTCTAAAGTTTAAACATTGCATTATTGTATCATAATTAGACTGTCGATTGGTCCTGATTTCCCGGAATTTTATTCAGTATAATGCTCTCATAGGTATGATCTCCAGGATTGGAGATTTCACCATCATTTTCATAGACACTGTCCTCCCTATTAATATAGAACGATTCTCTGCCGCGACTCTCCCCATTCGAATCTGACGTCATTGGATCCTGCTGTGGCGTACCCGAAGCAAAGCCACTGGAAGACCTATCCGCAATACTGTCCCTTGCCGACCTAGACATGTTGATGGACTCGCTGTGGGTACTGTCCCTGCTGTACGGATCCGGCAATGGTGGGTGTTGTTGCCTTGGCCCTAAAGCGGACCACCTCGAATTAAACTGGTCACTAATACCACCGTCTCTTGGCGTCCTATCCATGTGGACTGACTCGCGTGGGATAACTTCCCCGTTGTTTAAATCTGGCGGGATGAGATCCTGACGGGACAGTCTTGAGACGAAGAAACTGTTATCTGCAGCGCCACTGTAGTTCATGTGCGCAACGTTGGTTTCGTATCTTTGCGAGATTCGCCTCCTGTGGTATTAGTAAAACGTAAAAAAGACCAACAAGACAAAGACGTCATTGAGGGCAAAACTACAGACGGGGGCACTTTAAATTACCCTTAATTATCAAGGGTAGAGTATATATGCTCGTTTTATATAACGTTAGTACATAACGTATGTAAACGTTCTTTGAGGATAGCGTCACCAGTATCAATTCTGCTCTTCCAAATTGTTGTTATTACTTTAGCATTTTATACCTAGGTCGGGAGGGACAAGTGTAAATGCTGTAGTAAGATCAAACATAGAGTATCTCGTGTAAGAGGCAAGAACCTTGGACAAGCAGCAGTGCTCACACGTTCTACCCTTCCATGTTGTATCCAAACACCAAACACAAGTTATACAAACGCAATCCGCTAGATGTAAGTACCGTTGGTAATATCAGGACTATATAGCAGTTCCAGACACAGACACTATGAACGTCTTTACATGAATTTGAGTGCGTTGGACTAATTCACAACGAAGTTCACCTAGAATTTACCAAAACTTTTAAATCGACAATTAAATAAAATATCTCTATGAGTTCAACCTTCGTCAGAAACAAAAAGCAAAAGTAATCTCGGATACGATTTCTGCAAATAATGTTTAAAGATATCAAATAACTTACCTTAATATTATATAGAAAATTACAATTGCACATAAAAAGAGAAAAGCCGTCACCCCTAGTGCGATGGATAGTGCTGCAAAGGAAGAAGATTTTCAAACAAAATAAATGAAAAATGGTGAGAGTTGCCAAAATTGTTTGGAAGTAATAAAATATATACAAATGTTTTGATTAATATTGATTATCTATATAAAAGACATCATTGGTATATATTACTTCATTTCCATCTTATAGGAAATACTACGACCGCATGAGCCTAATCATATACTCAATTCATAATCAGAAGCAACCAAATTTTCTTAAAAATTTGGTATTTGAAACTAAGATTTGATTCTGAAAAAAGTAAGACACCCTTTGGGAAGAAAATGCCTTTATAAATTTGCAATGAATCAGCATTAATCGGTAAAAGGAGAATACCGTATACTGCAACCAATGATTAGCATCCAATGAAATGGGCAATTCACTGCAGATTATTCACCGTGTTGTAACATGTCATGCAGGTGGTTCTAAAACACATTTGATACCAAAGCAATAAACGCCAGCTGTATTACTTAATTTCAGTAACTCTTTTACAATGATACAGATGTTACACTTCCGTCCGAGGTCCAAAATATATGCTTGTGTGTAATTTAGTTTTACAAACATATATAAAACAGATATGATTATTTACGTCTAGAGACTGACTTAAACAGCAGCATTGTTAAGACGTGACTCGTCCGATCAGAATTAGTTCTTACCAAGGACCTACTCATATCTCCTTATGTCAAAAATATTGTTTTTGAATGCTTTAAAAGAAGACAATAATGCCTTGTTTGCTTCTAACAAGCTCTACTCAAATACAAATCTCTTAATAAGACATCTTCTAAATGGTGTGTGTACCAAGACTTGTTAGAGGGAGGGGTGGTTGTTACTTACAAAATCACACCTTTTTCAGCATATAAACTGGGTCATCGCCTATACCACTTTTTAATTCACGTGGAATTCTTACCTGTCTCTGAGCTCTTTGTTCCATCTGATGTCATGATCGACGACGAACTTCCACTAATAGAGGACAACACTTGTTCCGACGTCGAAGATGATTGCTGGTTGGTGGTACTTGGGATCATCTCGATGACTGACGGGGTTGATGTCGCCGGAGGGGGTGACGATAGTGATGATGATGGTGACGACGATGATGGTGATGAAGGTGATGATGATGATGATGATAATGATGAAGAAGATGATGATGAAAATGATGATGGCGATGATGGTGATGATGATGTCGCCGGAGGGGGTGACGATAGTGATGATGATGGTGACGACGATGATGGTGCTGAAGGTGATGATGATGATGATAATGATGAAGAAGATGATGATGAAAATGATGATGGCGATGATGGTGATGATGATGGGGATGATGATGGCGATGACGACGATGATGACGGCGATGATGGTAGTGTTGAATATGATGACGGCAACGTCGACGAAGATGATGATGACGGTGCAGATGAAGTTGAAAATGATGTGGTAATTGTACTTGAATGTGAAGTCGCTACAGTGGTTGATACATCTAAAGTTGTAGTTACTTCAATTGAAACATAAAAGACTCACATATATTAATGATTTACTAATAATCATTAAGTTGCAAAAATCAAAAGCAAAGAAAAAGATTCATCCGACAAAATAAATATAAATAGAAAGACAGGGAGAGACAAATAGGGGTGGGAAACGCAAAATATATGGGCAAATCTAAATATTCCCCTCTACACCTAACATTTTACCTCCCGTTGAAAGTTTTTAAATCAACTGTCCATGTCCAAGAACCTGCGTCTTTGCCCCTCTTTTTTCATAAGAATTGCATTCGCGTTGAGAAATAATGTCAACAGTATTGCCGGTTACGTTCTTTGTCAAACAGAAGATGAACTTTTTTTTCATTTGGTTAAAAAATAGTCCAGCGAATGTATTGTTATTGGTTAAGGAAGAAAATAAGTGTTACTGTACGAATGTAATTATGACATTTCTTTTGTTACATTGAATTAAACATGGAAAACGGTTACCTTCTGGGAGTGTTGTTGTTGACATCGGAGGTCCTTTACACATGAGAGATGATGGTTGGATACTTGTGCCTCTGAGATAGCTACTGACTTTATAAACGAGAGTAAATAAGTGAAAATAATTGTAAAAATAGGAGTATTTTCATTTCAATGAAAAATTGGATATAAAGCCTTGCCTATAAGAATTACTCTCTCAAAAGCGTGAACGCTGTCCTGGAGAGGGCTGTGCTGTGTTGTGTGCTGTTGGTGATGTGCTGTTGGTGAAGTGATGGTGGTTGTTCTCCGTGCACTATATACAATGTGCAGGTTGCAGTGTGCAGGTGGTGCAGGTGTGTCCCTCGTTTATACAACATCTCCAGGGGCAGGGGCGGCGCCATAGTCTGTATAGCGGGCAGTGCCGCTCCCCTAAAGCCAAGAATTGTATTTGCAGTGACAGCGTTGTTTGGGAGAGTGTTCCAGACATGTACACCATAAATAATGTCAGTCATTAATCGTATGCTATGACCCTATATCAGTCATGAATGAGCATAATGATGATGAGACAGGTGCAGGAGTTAGATCCAGATTATATAAGTCGATAACCTGAGCGAAAGACAAGCACGTTCTTATTCATTTATAACTGGAGGAATAAGTTATTTAATCTTGGCCCATTACCTCCTGGAGCCCTGTATTAATCCTGCGAGGAATATAATAATTCTGTAGTCGACGGGTTAATGGTGAAGAGAATTTTCTGTACCCGTTTGTAAGGTTCAAAAGAAATACTAACGAAATTAAATTTATCTCTTAATTTCACGACATAATGAGTTACGGTTGGACTTCAAAGAACAGAAATGAAATTGAGGAATAATAATTATCTACTTACTATTAAACATTGCAATGTGAGAATCTCCTCCACAGCTTTCAATGTTCCTTCCAGCACATGTAGAGGAGCAGAGCCTATCACCCACCCTGTCAGCCTGACTGATGGTTGTTGATGGATTCCCACATAAGCACTTGTTGCCTTGGTACAAACCAGCATAGGTATAGCTGTCACTGGTGTGTTTGCAGAAGCTTACGCAAGTTGGTATTGTCAAGCCTGGGCTGTCGTCAAGTCCATATTCGCATGGAGTCTGGAGCTCAACAAGCGCCCATGTAAAGTAAGGATAGCATCCTATGTATCCAGTGTCTAAATGATAATATTGAAAAAACACATGCAGTTTTGTGTGAATCCTCTCATGGAAAATTCATCTTTTTTTTAGCGTAACTTCAAAAGCTATCTTGTCTTTGGAAATGCTATAATAAGAATGCAGTCTTGTAAATCTACTTGTAAATGTCTTACTTTCTTTCGAGGCTTCGACATAATAATTATTTTAAAAGTTCTATCGATTCCGAGATTTTGATAAGAATATACAACAGCAAAATTACGAAAAAGGAACATGATATGAATCAAAGCGTTTTAGGACAACTATACCAGTGCACAACTATCCCCGACAAATTTCCCGGACAACTACCACATTGGAAACTTAGCCCTAAGGACAATGTCCCTTTGGATTACCCCTGGAAAAGTACCTTCTTTAAACTACTCCAATTACTCATTGGAGAACTACATATTATATGGTAATTGTCCACGTCAATTTCCTGGAGATTAGTTCAGCTACATGTATATAGGAATAGTTTTCGAGGAATTTCTCGGGATAGTTCATTAATTAAGGGACAGCTTTCTTGGGTTATTAGTTATCCAGATGTAGTTGTCTGAAAAGAAAAAAAAACATGCCAAAAAGTTAAGTTGAAAGTATAGACCCTTTTATTCAAATCAGCAACATTATACAAAAATGCAATGAAATGGTAAATCATCAATTTCATTCAAGTAACACCCCACTGTTACTACTCAAATGTATTCATTGAAGGGTTGGTGTGTGGTTGGACAATGATATCTTACCGTAGCAAATAACCCCTCCTGCATTAGAACAGAATAATGTGGAAAGTAGCGAACAATCGGCAAGTGTCTCTTCATCTGTAGTTAACCAGAGATATAAAAGGGGGAAAATAAGATCAATCTAAGAATGGCAATAAGACATGGTACCAATATTCTTTATTATTTCTTTATAGGTAACCGGATATCAAGAAGTAAGAATTGTTGAAGAAAAAAAATTATTACAAGCTTGGTACTAAGATTTATTTAGACCTTTGTAATTTATTGACTATTGACAGTAGGTTTAAAAAATGGTGTCGAAGCCGTACATACAAAACATCTTACCACCATCACAACTCAAACTATGTTGTCCAATAGAAGCACTCGTCCCGTAAGGCCATTGAGCTTTAACGGTATTGACTCCCGGATATCCGAACTGTCTGCAGATAACCGATGCTTCTTTAGAACTGAGTCCATCTCCACAAGCTGACGTCCAAGAAGAAGCTTCTGATCTTAAATATTCTACGCGTCCTTCGTTTGGTGTCAGTCCATCGACTAGCGTTACATCTATTCAGATTTAAGAGAGAGAGAGAGAGAGAGAGTGAGTGAGTGAGTGAGTGAGAGAGAGTGAGAGAGAGAGAGAGAGAGAGAGAGAGAGAGAGTGAGTGAGAGAGAGAGAGAGAGAGAGAGCGAGAGAGAGAGAGAGAGAGAGAGATTGAAAAGCCTATAAGTCAAATGGGCTGAAAACCTCCACTTTTTAATGAACATGTAATACGGGGAAAAGGAATAAGATCATGATTTATTTGAAAGTGGTGCTACACTTTCTCACTATTTAGTTTGTCAAAAAAGAGAGAAAAATTTGGGCACTCTGTTAAGAGCCTTTACCAAATGGTAAAGGCTCTTAACTCTCCTACGAGAAGTCCTGTGTTCGATCCTTTATTGGTGCTCAAATCCTTGGACAAGGTGTTTTGCCCACACTTGTCCCACTCCACGAATCTTACAGAGTTTAATACACTGTCGCTCATAAAGTTGGAATATTTTTGTTTCACCCCAATTTACGGAATTATTTTAAAAATAATTTCAAAATAATAGATCTAGATAATAGTATACATTCTCAGATTTAATTGAATAATGATATGCCAATGTGTGTTTTCCGTGACTGATAAAGCATGTGTATGCTACTATCTTTATTAACTAGGGGACCTACTCCCTTAAGTCATTAATGACAGTAATAAGGATTAATGCCCCACAAAAGGGCACTAATATAGCACATCGACACGGTTTTGATCCTGGGGCCTCTCAGTTACGAGGCCATTGCTTTGTCACTGAACCATGACTGTACGCAGCGGGGGCTAGTATAGGGGGCAGTTTTCATAAATAAAAAAAACCCCAGAAAATGCAATAAATATTCAATAATTTATTGCATTTTACCCCGGTTCCCAACATAAAAAATCCTCTGTGTGCCCATGCCTTGGGCTATAATGCATGGTCGTCCGGAGGATTTTTTTATGTTGGGGACCAGGGTAAAATGCAATAAATTATTGAAAATTTATTGCATTTTCTGAGTTTTTTGAAATTTATGGAAACTGCCCCCTACCCTAGCCCCCGCTGCGTACAGTCATGGTTCAGTGACAAAGCAATGGCCTCGTAACTGAGAGGCCCCAGGATCAAAACCGTGTTGATGTGCTATATTAGTGCCCTTTTGTGGGGCATTAATCCTTATTACTGTCATTTATGACTTAAGGGAGTAGGTCCCCTAGTTGATAAGCATAGTAGCATACACATGCTTCAGCAGTCACAGAAAACACACATTGGCATATTATTATTCAATTAAATCTGAGAATGTATACTATTATCTAGATCTATTATTTTTAAATTATTTTAAAAATAATTCCGTAAATTGGGGTAAAAAAAAATATTCCAACTTTATGAGCGACAGTGTATATACATTATGATACGCACTGTATTTTGTCATTATCCTCAATGAAAGCCCATTTCAGTACAATTTTATCCGTTCTTTGAAGTTACTTATTAAATATAAACTTGTTTACTTCGTCACTGCTTCTTTCTGGAACAAAATGAGGTGAACTTTAACAGCAGTCAAAACCAGGTGTGGTTAGGGAGATTTGAGTTGGTGTAGAGGTAATGTCTGTAGTACAGTCTGTCCTCTTCACTTACAAACTGACTCTGACGGACCGACGTTCAAGACTTAGTCGTGTCTTTTGAATGGTGACGTCCATGTCAACAATCACTATTGATTGATACACGTCTCA